ATGTTTATCCTGTATTTGATGTGTTTATCTGCAGTTAGTTACACGAATTCAGTTATGGGATGAAATCGGATAGGGATGAAATTGTTTAGGGATGAAATTGTTTAGGGATGAACGGGTTTAAGAGTTTTAAGAGTTTAAGAGTTTTTAAGAGTTTTTAAGAGTTTTAGCCAAATGCTTTATAATATAGTATAGATATATCTACACTACATTAATAAACATTTAGATCAAAAGTCTTAATTACAAGTTTTAAAACATAAAGTACTATCAATTTATGCAAGAGATTAAAAAATCTCTTAAGCACAAACTATTATGCATGATGTACAAATACTTAAAACATGCCATTTGTTTGATCAAAGTTTCAAATTTAAATAAGTCATATTTACATGAAAAAAATACGTTTGGTCTTTCTAAAGTTGTTTGACACTTTGTTTGTTTGTTATTTTGAACCCAAATTCAAATTCAAAGTTCTTTTTTCTCTTGAAGTAAACTGAAATTTGAAGCAATAATATCAAAAAGGATTTCAAAGCCTGCATGTACCCCACTCCAACCCTTCAACTTTATATCTGTTTAGAAACACAACACGTGTGCAATTATTTTTCCAATCGATCTTGTTAATACACCATATTAATCTTCAACTTTATATATTAGTTTACTTGTAAAATAACCACACAAACTCATAATTCAAGGTTAAAGTAATATTTCAAAATTTGTCTTTCTTCCTTAAATCGTTTATCATCATGATAGCAGATATCTCCATCAAAATTTGTCTTCTTCCTTAAATCGTTTATCATCATGATAGCAGATATCTCCATCGAAATTTGATGTTTTTCATACGATAACTATCGTGATACACGTTCAAAGTCGAAAAGTCAATAGAAGTGGCGTAATCAATGGTGTAATCAATTAGGGTTTATCACTCTCAACCACAAATTGATATCCCTCTCTAAATTTCAAACATAACAAAATATCAAAGAGTTGAAATCACGTTTGTAGAATTTGTAATCATTGTATGGTTTTGCATATATATGCATATATATATATATATATGTATATATATGTGTGCACATACATTGAAAGCTAATCCAAATCATGGATCTTTTCCTCATTTCTCTTGTATCCTTGGTCTCTTTCATTTTGATTTTCAAGCTTCATAAACACAAAAAAGGGAGAAATGTAGCACCAACTCCACCTTCTCTCCCAATAATCGGTCATCTCCATCTGATTAGAGAACCTCTTCATAGAGTTCTTCACCAGCTTTCTTGCAAGTATGGTCCTATTATGGCTCTTCGCTTTGGCTCTCGCCCAGTTCTTGTAATAACCTCTCCGTCAGCAGTTGAAGAGTGCTTCACCAGAAACGATATGGTCTTAGCCAACAGGCCACTTCTTTTAAGCGGCAAGTATCTTAACTATGACCACACTTCTCTGGGTTCTGTACCTTATGGACGTCTCTGGAGAGACCATCGTCGCATTGTTACACTTGAACTCTTCTCGACAACTCGACTCAGGGAATACATGGGAGTCCGACAAGATGAAGTGAGATCATTAATCAAGTCTCTTTCTCAAGATGCAATGCAAGAACATTTCACAAGAGTAGAAATGAAGTCCAGGGTTCAGGGTTTGTCATTTAACGTAATCACAAGGATGATTGCCGACAAACGGTTCTATGGAACGGGTGTCGATGGCTTCGAGGAGGCTATCAAGTTTAAAGATGTGATAAGGGAAGTATTCGACATCAGTGGAGCCTCAAATCTTGGACACTGCATCCCATTTTTGCAGTGGATTGATTTTCAGGGATTGGAGAAGAGGTTTCAAAGATTGCAAACTAAATCCGATAGCTTTTCACAAAGTCTGTTAGAAGAATGTAGGAGTGAACGTCGCAGTTCTTCAGGCCATGAAAAGGCCAAGACATTTATAAACGCCATGCTTTCGTTGCAGGAATCAGATCCAGAATACTACACAGATGATATAATCAAAGGCCATATATTGGTATGTATGCTCATTCCTGGCCTTTGATCCATGTCTCTTACTATGATAAGATGCATGGATCCCCTTTGAAAATTCTTACTAAAACAATCCATTCAAGGTGATTGGAAGTTCCTACTTAAATATACAAGTTTGAATGGTCCATGTATAGCAATTTTATTCACTGTTCTTTCGGTTTGTAGACACTGCTACTTGCGGGAACCGACACTACATCGGTGACAATAGAGTGGGCGATGTCACTTCTTCTGAATCATCCCGCTGTGCTAGAGAGAGCTAGAGCCGAGGTCGATGAACATATTGGACACCAACGTTTGGTAGAGGAGACTGATATTCCCAAGCTGCCATACATCCAATGCGTCGTCCATGAAACACTAAGACTATTCCCACCGGGACCGCTATTGCTGCCTCACGAACCATCTGAAGATTGTACAGTTGGAGGGTTTGACGTCTCATGTGGCACAATGGTGTTGGTGAATGCATGGGCCATCCATCGGGATCCACTGTTTTGGGACGATCCATTAAGTTTCAAGCCAGAGAGGTTTGAGAAAATGGGAAACACGGGGGCTTGGTTTATACCGTTTGGGATGGGTCGTCGGCAGTGTCCTGGGGCCGGGCTCGCGAACCGAGTTGTGACATTGGCGTTGGCATCGTTGATCCAATGCTTCGAATGGGAAAGGGTTGGTGAAGAGCTGGTGGATTTGTTGGAAGGCAAAGGTCTGTCCATGCCCAAAGGCATACCTTTAGAGGCCATGTGCAGAGCCCGCCAAAGAATGAGTCATGTTCTGAAGGAGTTATGATATGTGTCATCACCATCAAAAATAAGAAGCATCGATCTTATTTTAGTTATCTTTTCAAAACTATTTATCAGTTGTGTGCTTATATCTGCACAAACGGTTATGTTTTTATAAATGTTACTAGAAATAAATGGCGGTTTGGATTGTGGAATTTGGGATTTATAATTGGTTCAAAACAGTTTGACTTTTTCCAAAAATTCAAACTCTTGTGCTTAAAACTCAAGTTTAATGGTTCAATGCAAAATTAAATGTTGAAAACTTTGACATTTTAAGTATGCTATAAATCCAATTTTGTTGTGAACTGTCATGAACTCCGATATTCTCGACTTCACGGAAAAATTTGCATCTGTAAGCTCAACTTTACCGAAAATGAGCCCCAGTTCAATAAGTGCTTGTCGAGCCTCCGTTGGAGGGGGCGTGTTAGAGTCCCATATCGGCTAGACTTAGACAATTCTCCTCTATATATGTCGAAACCTCCCTTCTCTACTGAAGGCTTTTTTGGAGATTAACCTGCGGTTTCACATATTCTCACACAAGGTTTTCGAAAACAAGTGTAAACTGTTCTTAAAAAGGGGAGGATAATAAACACAGTTGGACAGGAGAATAGTAAACACAGTTGGCCATGTAAACTGTTCTTGAAGCAACAACATTTATCATGGTTGCAGCAGATTTACAAAGCCAACTTAACATTCTTCCTAAATGTTACACATGTCCAAAAGTTCTTAATTATTTTTAATGGAATAATACACCAGATTGGTTGGGTGAAGGTTTTTTTTATTTATTAATCTGGATATCCAACCTGTTATGCGATACGACTAATTCCAGGACGACCATCTGTTTTTACAGATAGCCCGGAGTCATCGCATTTGAACCTCCATAGTCATAAAGGAATTTTTATTCTTTCTTGGATTTGAACCAGAATTTTCTTGCTTATCATGTGAGGTTTTTGCGTCATTGATGTGGAATGACACAATGAAAATAATGCACATAAAATATAGTAAAATAACAAAACTTCGTAAGAAAATATCTTGAGAAATCTATCTACCATAACGAGTTTTCAAGAATCAGTACATGAAATTTTAATGAATTTGAATGATATTGAGCATGCATGTTTCCCATCTCTTCTCGAGAAACAAGTGGGCGATTTCTCCCCTAAAATCTTCTACCTTTCATTTAAATAGAATGTTATAGATTCCCCTTCATTGTATATAAAATAAACTATAACACGAACTTTACCCATACTATTACTAAATTTTGCAAGGTTTTCTAGATCTGTTATGTTCAAGATTGACGCTATATTTGATTACTTCTCATGCATGTGATCATGCAATCAATGTTTTTATGATGTCAAACATTCTGGTCATGATGATAAACAGTTGTTGGTTATTTATCATGATGTAATATTTTATTTTTAACATCGTTGAAACAAAGCTCGATATAAGTAAGCTTGAAATTTATGTGTATAACCATCGTAATCAAATTGCTTGTTACAAATCATAACAAAAGAGAGTGATCTTCTCCACTCGGATTCAAATAGATTATTGGTTTCCTTGTGCATCATTGACAGAGTCAGATCTACACTTAGGTCATGAGTTTCCCGGGAAACCACTAATTTTATACCGCATGATATACATTTTTTAAAGTCGCTTGATGATGAAACCATAAATATTTTTTGTTAGGTTTAACTTGATTATATCCAAGGCTAACTATTTGAGTTAATTTGTTTATATTGATGTCATCATGTTAATTCACTTATATTGATATTAACATATATAATGACAATTTAATTTGTTGTTAATTCTTTAGTGTTACTTTGTGTATAAATCTATTTGTTTAAGAGTTAATTTAGTCATGTCTTTTTGGGCTAATTCTTTAAATTTTTGGTTAATTTAGGTTTAAGTTGAAACTAGTTATCTATACTATATTATAAAACATTTGACAAAAACTCTTAAAAACCATTTTTTATACATAAAGTACTGATTATTAATGCATGTTACTTAAAACTCAAGATTACAAGTAGGTTGTGCGTAAGTACAACTTATTAAAGCTCCATATCTGAATTCGTGTAACTAACTGCAGATAAACATAATCAAATATAGTATAAACATTTTATTTTAATTATAAAAAATCTAAAATATAATTAGGATAATCATTGAGTTATAACAAAATACTTAATTATTATTTTTATAAAATGTTATATTATTAAACCAAAAATAAATTATTTTATTATTAAATTTAAATTAAA